TGAACTTGAACATGGACATATCTTTGTGTGTGTGTGGGTGGGAACACATTATTCAACCCACTACAGGCGGCATACCCATGGAGGGGCTGGTTGAGGCCATGACCTAATATCTCCATCTGCTTTGGCTCAGGTGTCACCTCCTCTGGGGAGCCTGCTACCTCCCCTTTATGTCCCACAGCACCTGTCCCTGCCACCATCACAGCCACTGTTATACCTCCAACGAACATTTCTGTGTCTATGTCAGGCACTGAGCTGGGTCCCGGGGGTTCAGAAGTTCAGGTTGCCAAATATAGCATACAAAAACACAGAACACCCAAGGAAATCTGAATTTCAGATAAAGAGTGAGTTTAAGTTTTCCCCATGTATTGTATCTGGCACTGCTGACAGCAGCGGAGGAGAGAAGCAGGGCCTCCAGCTGCAGGGAGCCTGCAGCCCTATGGAGATGAGGGGGTGAGTGACCACAGTGCAGTGCAACAGGGGAGGACGAGGCATAGGGAGACCCCAGGGAGAGTGCTGGGGCCAGCTATGGGAGCCAGAGGAGGCTTCCAACATCTAAGCTGGGACGCCAGGGGCAAGAAGGAAAGAGGTTTCTGGCGAAAGGAACTGCAGGGCCAAAGGTAAGGTGTGGGGATGGGGCCCTGGCCAGGAGAACAGGGTCAAACATGCAGCCTCTAACCCTAAACGGAGCCTGCAGCCTCTGAGGGCTTTAACTGGCCAACCAGACGTGAATTTTAGAAAGAGGGAGATACGCAGTGCACAAATGACGAAGAAAGAAGAGAGTTTCAAGGAAGAAGTGCATAACAGGCCAGATGTTGCAGGGAGGCCCAGAAGGATAAGGACTGAGGCGTGTCCCTGGGAGGTAGCAAGATGGCTGGAGGTGTTAGAAGAGGCTTCCACAGGGCGGTGGGAAGAGAAGCACTGCAGCAGGTGGAGGAGTGAGCAGCGGGAGAAGCAAGGAGGTAGAGACAGGGTTAGGGTTGGCCACTTTTTCCAAAAGTTTTTAGATGGGGGTGGGGGTGGGTGGAGAGCAGGCAGGAGCCAGAGGGTTGAGGAAGGCTGGGGAAGGGAGGGGTGACTGAAAGGAGGGGTCCTGAGGGGAAGAGGCTCAGCTCCTCAGGTGGCAAGGAGGGGAGGATGGGGGCATTCAGATTCTTCTCTGATCTTTTTTTTTTTCCTTTTGGGAAATGGAGGGCTTCTCCTTAGCAGATCACAGGGTGCAAAGTCTGCCCATCAGTCCCCCGCGGTGCAGTTATGTGCCGGCCCGTTGGGCAGGGCTAACTTCCAAGGCAGTTCCCCAGCACGGAAGACTACAGCGAGTAGCTGCCCCCAGGCCTCCACTGAGCACGTGAGTGAATGAATACTTGGGAGCAGCTGAGGGCTGTGGAATGAGAGTGTTTAGGGGAGCAGCTGTACTAGGAGGACGGAGAGTCTAGGAAGGAGGTGGGATGGGTGCGGGGCCTGGAAAAGAGGTGGGAAAAGGTGTCCCATCCTGAAGGATCAGAGAGGAGGAGGTAGGAGCTGGAGGGAGTGGCTGCTGAGGCAGCTTAGTCGCCAGGGCAGAGATGTGTTAGGGAAGGGAGGACTGATGGTAGGGGAGCAGGTGGGGGTGGGGCAATGTCCTTTTGTACCCAGGGAGGGGATTCCTTTTCTGCCCCAGTCCATGCCAGGTGCCTTCCATCTCTCATCTCATTTAAGCTCATTGAATTCTCACAACCTCCCCTGGAAGATGATGCTGATGATGAAGATGACAGCTCTGGGAGGTCTCACTTTATAAATAAGGAAACCTGAGTCTCAAAGACTTGAGGCATCTTGCCAAAAGTCACAAAGGCCTTAAGTAGCAGAGAGGAAGTTTAAACGCTGACTGGTCTGACTCCAAAGCAGACTCTGTCCACTACCCCATGAGACCAAGGAAGCACTGAGCAGGAGAGAGCCCATATCAGGGGCAGCCCTCCAGGGAGAAGGATGCTGCTAAGGTACAGGAATAGGGCACTGGGGCTTCTCAGGCCTCTAGGGGGCCTGGATGATGTCACCTGCCCAATGGACTACTGGGCTTACCTCCCAGGCCTTGTCTGGTGTCCAGCAAATTCCTGCAGCTGGGTGGGGACGGGGGTCAGGGAGCAGACTTAGGAATAGGGAGTGGCAGAAGAGACAGGGCACAGGGCATATGTTCCCTGAAACAGCTGACCATGAAGTTCAATGTGGATGAGGAGTCAAGAGAAACCAAAACATGGTAGGGGACTGCACTGGGGTGAGGGTTGAGCCTCATTCCCATTTTGCCGCTTCTCTCACTGTTAATGCTCTTGCCCCAGCCCTTCAGGCTCCCTTGGATCTGCAAATACTGTTCCCTCCCCTGGGAACCCCAAGCCTTCTCTTCAAGCGTAAGTTCAGAAGTCCCCTCTTTCTACCTTGGCCACCTTCCTCCCACCTTAGCTCCCTCTTCTGGTCTCCTGAGTGCTAGCAACCAGATTTTCTGACCAGGGAATGGGATGCAGGCCAAAGACTCACTCATTCTAGTCTACCTACATTCCCTCCATGGTCTCATCCAGTCTCATCTAGCTTTACATACCATCCATACCTGTATATGCTGAAATTTGTAGCTCCAGCCTGGACCTCTCCTCTGTGTGTCAGACTCTGATTACTCCACATCTCCATGTGACTCTCTGAAAAGACATCTCAACCTGAGGTGGTGGAAATTGAAGTCCAAGTCTTCCCTTCCCCTACCCACCTTGCTCCTTCCAAACATCTCAGTTGAAGTCACTCCATTTTTCCAGCAGCACAAGCTAAAAACCTTGAAGGTATCTTGACTCCCCTCTCCCTCATACCCCACATCACATCCAGTCCATTGGCAGGTCCTGTTGACTCTACCTTCCACACACATTCACGTCCTGAACACTTCTCCCACCTCCACTGCCATCCAGCGGGTGGGTGTCAGCACCATCATTCTGGCCTAGATTATAGCAGTGGCCTCTACACTGCCCTTCCTTTGACTTTGCCCCTATGCTCCCTACTCAACCCAGCAGCCAGTGGTCATATGAGCACATAAGCCAGCCTTACTACCCCTTCCAAACTCTCCAGTGGCATTCCAGCTCTCTCTAGTCTCCACCAAAGTCTTTCAAAACCTACAAGCCCTAAGTGATCCTCCCCTTAATGGTCTGGTTTCACCTCCCACTATTCTCCTGTTGGCCCACTCTGCTCCAGCCATATTGTACTACCTGTAGTTTCTCAAGCATTCTAATCATGCTCCTCCTGAGGAGTTTTACAGTAGCTGTACCCCAGCCTGTGCCCCTAGCCTGGAATGCCTTTCCCCAAGTAGCTTCATGATTTGTTCCCTAATACCCTTCAGGTCTGTCTTTTTTTTTTTTTAATAAATTTTAATTCTTTTTTTTTTTTTTAAATAGAGGTAATGGGGATTGAACCAAGGACCTCGTGCATGGACCTCGTGCATGCTAAGCATGTGTTCTACATATGTCTCCTCATTTTGTCTTCACTGAACATCTTAGTTAAAACTATAAACCTGACTTTCCCCATTCTCTTTCCACAAAACTTTTTTCATCTAATGTGCTATGTATTTTATCTGTTCATATAGTTTATTATCTCTCTCTTCCTTCCAGAATACAAAATCTATCAGGACAGTATCTTTTCTGTTTATTATTGTTTACTCTGCTTCCTGCAACAGTGCCTAGCATATGGTAGGCACTCAACAAATGTTGCTTGAGTTGACTCTTTGGGGACCACCACTGTGCTGAGCGCAGAAGGTGGGACAATGAGCAAAACCTGACAAAGCCTATGAAGTTTGTCTTAGGCAGCAGTTTTCTGATATTCATAAGTACTCTACCTGGGGAGCTCTTAGAAGCTAAGAATCTGGTTCCGCCCCTGGAGATTCTGGGGGTAGGCTCTAGGGGCCTGCACAGCACTCAGGCTCCCCAGATGATTCTGTTGCAGGCCAAGTGGGGGTCACACTAGTCTGCTGGGGTAGACTGAAATTAATATTGTTCAAGACGTCTGATGCCTCATTTTCACAGCACCTTCTACTCTCCATTAAACAGTTGTTATATGGCGGTTTCCCCTTTAAACAGTAAGTTTTGGACTGCGACGGCATCTTGCTCGTTTCCGTGCCCCTTGGGCTCTGAACAGCGTAGGTTTAGGTGCCAGTCAATGTTTATTGAGAGAGCGAATGAATGGAGAGTGAATGACTGGTTAGAAAAGGAATTTCAGAGTTCACGATCGAGAAGGTGGGAAATTTTCCAAAGCCACCTACCCCTGTGCCCGAGGGTTGTAGGAGGGGCTGGTGCTTCAGAAGTCGTGTCGCGTTTGGTCGCCTGGGAAGGTAGCACTCCACCTGCTGACCCAGGCCGGCGTGGGAGATGTGGAGTGGAGCGCAGGGGCAGCACTGCTGTCCACTCGACTGCCCAGCAGCGCGCTTTTCCTAGCGCTGCGCCGCCGTTGCCATAGCTACAGACACAGCCAGGGGAGAAGGGGCGGGCCAGGGCTACGTCATTCCCAGAGCGACGCTGCTCCGCTCCTCCCGCCTCCGTCGGGTGTGAGACCCTCGGCCCGCCTCCCCAGCTCTCCACCTGCGCGCCTTCCCCCGCTGCCCCCTCCCCGAGTTCTGCGCCGGCGCGGTGCCCGCCAG